CTTATGGGGTGATTGGTATCAGCACGAAATCCACCGTAGCAGGTACACGGCTGATGAGCTGGCCAACAGGTACCTTGATTGCTCTTCGTGCTGGCCATACAGGAGAGCAGGTCTAGAAACAGGTTCGAAGGAGCAGGTTGATGGTGGAAGGAGTGGTCAATTCAAGAAGTCCTGTGCGCTCACGTAGATCAAGCAAAGGTCGACATGCGTGTGCACGCAGCACGCGTCTTTCAGGCTTTCGCCGCGCGCGTCCACCTACCTGCACGCACGATCCAACCACAATATTGGTATACATGCACGCGACGTGTCATGAGCCGCGCTCGCAACCGGCCCATACTTCATTCCACTCAGCATCCACGACTGCGGAACTTTGCGCGGCGCAGCGAGAGACTCATCCAAGATTGCGTCCACGCGCACTTCTCAGCAGTCACGAGTACCGACCCGTCCCCTCGTCATATGACTTACGCCCAGGTCAAAGCAGAGTCTGGCACCAGGCGAATGGGACGGTTGCGAAGGTAAGCTTGAAGAGCTCGCCAGGCTTGCTGCATGGGTTAAGATAGCCTGGAAGTTGAGGTCTATAAATCCTAAGCTCGACAACATTTCAGATGGAAAAATTGAATACGCACAGCGAAGGCTCCACTTCGATTGCCATTGCGGATTTTCATCACGTAAGTGCAGTTGGAGGTCACTACGCGGAGATAGCTCGCTTGCAATCAGGGTCATTCCTTGAAACTGTGCTTGCCGGGTCAAAATGTTCCACACTCTCCTCGTATTGGGCCAATGGGAGCTGCCTTGATCGCTTGCGGAAAACTTGGCGCTCTTTGGTGGGGAACACATCTATTTCTGATGATTGAATGCTAGCCCTGTCGTATCTACAGACTCGCGGCTCTCGTTTGCTGACACATGTTTCGCGCCTACTTGGTCTGGTCGTCTCAGCTCTTTCCTGCCCTTGCGAATGTGAATGCTGACTATGGTTGCCGTACAGTGGATTGCCTTTCACTTCCCGGACCTTGGGTGTTTGAGGACTATGGAAGATTGTGATGAAAAGCTTTGAGCAATCCTCAGCCAAACTTCGGCAGAAGTTCGTCAAGCGGCTTGAGGACGTCCTTGAGGACCTGATCTAGTGCTTCGTTGCGCAAGAGCGTTGATGGCGCAATCTGAAAGACTTTGCAGAACCTGCATGTTTGCCCTCCTGAAGAGTAGTTCCACCTGTGCGGATGGCCTTTGACCACAGGACACATCTCCTCAGGCGGATTCAACGTTTTTAGTATGAACCATACGCTTGCGGTCAACAAAGCACGAATGGCTTCGCTCTGACCCAATGTTCCATTCTCGAGGCTTGAGCAGCCCTTTTCCAACGCAGTGCTAACTTCCGACCTCACTTGCATGGCGTCTTGCTCCATTTCGAGACGGCCAACGATTTTGGCTAGCTCGCCGCCGCTGGTTCTGGAGCGTCGATCCTAAATGGGCCAAGGATGTCAGCATATACGTAGTATTGAGGTACACGTCATGTAAAACTTGCCATGAATGTCGCTCTTGCTGTCACGTAGGCAAGCTCGCCGTGTCTGACAATAGAAGGGTCCGCCAACTTTTGAAGTGTGTCACCTTCCTCGTCCACCACTCTCGCATACGCCGAAAGAGCAGCTCGCGCGAGTCCGTTGTCCAAAATCTAAGCGTTAGAGGGGACGCAGTCATTAGTACTAGATGCATGTCGTCCAATCTAAACTTCTCGTAATAGACTGACCTGGCGAGCGACGTTGTAAAGAAGTGGAAGAGCTCTTCGGGAAGCAGCTTGACCCACTAAAGCTTGGGTATCTTTGGTGAACTGAGAGCATCGAAAACCCTTAAGACCTGGTGAGCGTCTGACGCAGCTGACGCGCTGATCTCAGCAAGGCGACCTACGAAGTACTGTCCCAGTGCTTCTACCCCGCTGAAATCTGTGTCCAGCTCCACATACATGGTCTGTGGGCCCGCGCTCGGTGAGTCACTGAAGCTAGCCGATGTAGTCCTACGCAGAGCACATACTTTGTTGGCCCGAAGTGCCTCGGTCTCAGAAAACCCAGAGTGTAGCATGTCGTGGAAGAACTCATGCTCTTCAGCTACAGCAGCATGGAGTGCCACGTTGGGTCTTTGGTTGCGAGGGATGCCTGTGTGGACAAAGGAGTCAGCCTTGTGTGGCCCCTTTCGAGCGCTGTGCGCCCGATCTGACATACCGTATCGCCTGTTGATTGGCTGACCTTCCAAGATGGCAGGTACGAGAAAAATTTGGGGGGAAGGGAAGCCTAGATCGTGTAGCTTTTTCAGCATTCTCCCACGAAAGTCTTCTTGGTGCTCGTGAAGCATGGTCTGTAGAGCGCTGATCGAGGGGCCTACGGCAGCTTGATCAGTCTCGGAAGAGGTATGAGACGAGTCGGAAGCGACATTGGCCTTTTGGCGCTTGGCGCTGCGTTCCGGACTGCTCGACGACATGCTGAATGGAGGCCACAGGGCATACTTGCTCTCGACACCCTCCGACTTTGCTTTGTGCAATGCACAATGCACAGGGCACCAGAAGGACTGAAGGGATAGCTTCACTCCTGTATAACGCAACACTGAATAGCAGATCCAATGATTTGCTGTCAGGGCTGGCGGTCTTCTTGCGCGCACTTCACGAGCGGTCCGCGGCTGTGAGGTGAGTACAAATGCTACGCAAGAAGCGTGCAGGTTCATAGCCCGATAAGCAGCCCATCAAAGCTTTCATGAGCGGCAGAGGCGACTGAAGTCCTCTTCTTTGATATTTCTTTGCGGATGCGCAGCCGCAGCCTTTCTCTGAGATGATTCGAAATTCAGGAGCTTTCGGACGTTCAGTGAACCTTCGGATGGTGGATGGTGAACAGACCAATTTCTGACATCCTCCGAGGTCGACGCTGATGTTTGAAGCGGCTCGCAGAGTTGACGAGATCACATGTCCGGGAAATTGGTTGTGCAGAGCAATCAAAATCTCAAGCACCTTGATCAGGCGTTTGAAGCCATCAAAGTCTGTCGCCTCTCACGGCTGCTGCCCTTCTAATCCCACGATTTCAATTTATCATTACAGCTGCTACAAACGAACAAGCAGCGCAGGGCATGGGGGTCACGTGCCTTTCGTTTGCGGCTGTGGGCGCGACTTTGACTTTGGGATTCAATGATTCATTCACAATTCAAGTGATTCAAGATTCTTGCTGGAGAGTTCAGAAGGAGTCCAATTCTTGATCCGAAAGATGTTTGGTTTCGCTCAAGACTTGCTGAGTGACACGCTTCATTTGTGAATGATAGCACTTTTGATGACATGTGTTCAAGTTGGCAGGGGCCTAGGCGCAGATTGCGCAATGAGACAGACTTTTCGACGAGTTGGACGCTTTCGCAGCGGAAGAAGAAAGTCGAAGCTATGTCGAAAGAGTGACCGAGCGAGACAGCAATCACATTGCCCGTGAATGTTGCATCTCACAGGGTTCGCCTGGTAGCGGGGAGCTTGGTGGGGCCATGGCGACATTTATCGCTCGATGGCTGGTATGGGCTAGTGTACCGCTCGGCTTGCTGGACGAACGTCAAAGAAAGTCTTCGGCTTTCGTAGTAGTTCAACGAGAGACCGGTCCAAAGAATTCTCTGATGGGCCGCAGACTTGGCGTGACGCATGTCCAATCTGGCTAGTTATCTTTCTCGCAATCTCGTTCTGTGCATCACCACGATGGACGCCGCATCTAGAGCACTGGACGTTTCGTAGCCAAGCATGCTTCCTTTGTGATGATGCCGAGGAAACCGGGCATTGCGCCGTGGCCGATAGCGACTTGTTCGCCAGCAATGACAAAGAAGCCCGCAGAAGAGCTTCAAACATTCTCCTGTGCGCTGTAGACCGACATGGAAGGGCAGACCAAGATTTTACAAGAAGGACGCTATACGCTGTTTTTCGGCCTTTGCCTGCGCTGAAACTTGAGGTACTGGTCTCCCGACTGCTCGCCCATTTCGGATGCAGGCGGATAAAATGCTTGCGGAAAGAGACAGGCTGCGAGAAGGACACAGTGGATACTCGTGCTTCAGTAGCAAGCGGCACTAGCCACAGCCTGCGGGCTACGTTGACTCTCTGAGCCCCAAGCGCCTGACTTGTTATGGCTGTCTCTGTTGGATGGATGTCGTAGCACAGGATGCACCTTCGCGGCACGAGCAGCAATCACATCTCGTGAATGTCTGCGAGTCAAGAGGCAAGAGTTAGTGAGTGTCTCGCGTGCACAGTCCTAGCGCCTGTTGCACGCTTGCCCACACGTGATCGAGCAGATGCATTCCTGCGTCGTATGTGCATCTTTCTCATTGCGTGTCGCAAGAATGAATGACCAGACCCTGCTCGATGCTTACTTCTTGACTTTCGAGTATTGCCCCAGACAACAAGCGCTACTGTCGGGCGAGATTACCAAGTCTAAAAGGAGCAATGCGCAATTTGGGTGGCATGGCAAAAGTGGGACGTGAAGTACAAATCCAGCATACCGCCTTCTATATAGAGCCGGACACGGCTTGTTGGACGCCTGGATGGACGGCTTGATGTGCTTACGGGGTCGCATTGCCCATCGACATGCTTTCCTTGACAGCAAAATTTTCAAGGTCACAGGAACTTGTGCGAGGTACCTAGACCGCCTTCTTATGCCACGGGGGGCTGAGTTTCTCTTTTTCTTGGCATCTACTTGTGACTCCTTTCGCTCCTCGATGTTTTACGCTGCTCACCAAGAAGGTGCGTTCCTTCCAGCCTTGACATGATATTCTCGACATCTAGCTTCATTCGATCTTCATGTCGCTTGCAACTTCGCCTGGTGGAGCAGCTTCCATAACGTCGTTTGACGAATCACTTTCCGAATCGCTTTCCGAATCACTTCCTGAGCCAGAGGACTCGCTAGGTTGGTAGGTCGGGTCCATCGTCTCGTTCTCCTCATTGAACCATTTCGGCTTTTTGCCAAGTTGGCCACGGCGCCTAGGTCGAGGAGACACGTTTTTCCCTGCAATGAGGCGCTCTGTGCGATCGACGATGTTGTGTGAAACCTCTTTCGAATACTCCTGCCGAATCTCAAGCCAGAGTCCAGTTAGATCAATGAGGAGCGGTCGCTTCTCTTCGTCTTCGTTGGCCAAGGCATCTCTCAGAGTGCCCCTCCAGCGCCCAATGTTTTGCATACCAGCTATGAGGCTCCTGAAGAATAACGGGTTTGCAGTCGATTTACTCCCTTGACCCGTGAAATGCGCCCTCCTTGGCGTCGTTGTACCGTCCGGCGATCCGAGGATCAAGAGGCTGGTGCGACGGCGCTCTACTTCTTCGCAGAAGGAGAGGTGCTTGAGCCAGGCGTCGAGAGACAGAAGAAGCTCGGCTGCATCAGTTCGCGACATGTTGAACGGCTGGAGAGCAAACGCACGCCGCCGGGTTAGCTGGATGCGACCGTCCAAGGCTTCATCGCCGCCATGCTCACTTTTCCATTATGCAATCCCCATAGATGCGGGTTCGCGCCGTCAGTGTCAGGAACCGGGTCCACCATCAGCTCATCCTCAGACTCTGGTGGCGGCGACTCCATGGGTACTCGGACTCCTGCCGGAAGTCCTTTCGCCTTTAGAGCTTCCGCAACCACAGCAGTGTGAGCTTGGATTTCTCTGGACAAGTGTTCTTGTGAAAGGTTCGCGACATTCCGGATTGCAGCTTCAGACGCTGCTTTTGCGAAGGGCAACACTCTTTCGCAAACTTGCGCCGTAGATCTTGTGACGCTGAGTCTGTCGTAGATCCCGCTGATTTCAATCAGACCCGTTTCACGACTTGTGCACATCTCGTCAATGACTGCGTAACAGTCGGATCTGTCAGCCAAGGAAAAGATTGTCAGTCTCTCGCAGCTAGGTGACAATTCTTCCGGACCCAACACTCACGACGCCGGCTCCACTGCTGGGGGCGGGGTATCAGAAGCTGCCTCAGTCGAGTGCTCGACCCGGAAAGGGGCCCCCTTCAGAATTCGAGAGAAGAACGCGCCTGCTACACTGCGGCCAAAATGTTGTAGTATACGGAGATGTTCTGCCGTAGGAATCGCTCCTTTGTCATACAAAGCTGCTGTCTCGGCCTCCCCACCACAAGCCAAAGTATGTTTCAAGACCACGTCGTCTGATGCAAACCGTTAACGATCATCAGCACACGCACAAGACTTCGACCGTCACAGGGCGGATTCCTACTTACAAGCAAGCTCTGTGGGGGAGAGAAGGGGCCGTAACCCTTCACCTGGGGTGATGAACTCGTGTGGCGTGAACCTTTCGTCTCCATTCGCAATGGCCTCTACCGTCTTCTGCGTAGGAGCCTTCGGGTTGTGGCGTCTAGAGTCTTCTCGTTCGACGCCCCACCTTGCGCCGCGCGCTTCATGGAGGTCGAGGAGCTGCACAGGCAGAGTGTGAGCGGCTTCGCGGCGCGCGCTCGCCGAGATGCCGGGAAGTTTACAGAAAAGGTGGGGAGCCACGCGCAATGGTCGGGGAGATATGCTGGTATTGGCAGGACAAAGGTCAAAGAAGTTCCGCCGTGCAGATTCATTATCCTCGGGTTCGATCCCGGTGAAGTTCTCGTCGGCCTCGCTTTCGTCGATGCCGCTGAGATCCTCCAGAGGGTCAGTTGCGAGGTCTAAGCACTCGCTGCTAACAAAATGTTTACTGTCGGAAAGCGTGCAGGCGCAAGGGACATTTGCCTTGAAGATTACCGCGTCTGTGACGTTAGAGCATGATCTGGGATCAGAGTCAGTTGTTCGGCGCGGCCATCGGAGCAAGGCAATTCTTACATTCTCCTGCGTCGCTGGAGCTGTTCACACCCAAGCATGTCACCGGCTCTGTGAGCCAGGTCACACGTGCTCCAGGCGGTCCCGACTTGTGGCGTTGAGCTTCGAGATTTTTTCCGTTGGTCTTTTGACACGCAAGAACGGAATTTGGTCTCTCGTCTCGTGAGATGCCCGCGCCACCTTTGTTTTGATTTGGCTGCACCTTCCAGATTTCGGGTCCGAGATCCAATGAAGTAAAATCTAGGGTGATTGAGGGGCAAGGTAAGAGGTCAGCGTCAGGTCCATGACATGAGCGCCATGCTAGTACCAAGGTTTACCATAAGCTTTCACCGCAGCGCGGGCCACCTTGAGGGCTTCATGCTGCCAGGCATGGCCTCCTTTGGCGTCACATAATGCCCTGCTCAAAGAGAGGAAAGGAATGTCCGCTTGTTGAAGGTGGACTCCAAGCTAGCTGCAAAGCGCACCGAACCAAGTTTCCCTGAACGAGCGGTGTCAAAAGATATTGATGGTATCGAGCTTGAGTGAGCTGTAGGTACTGCGACAAAAAATATGCACTGCGACTCACGGCTGTGCGTCTTCGTAGAAGATGCGGAATCGTTGATGCTAGGAGCCGAGAAGTCTCATCACCGCCATACTCAACGTACGCATACTCCACTGGCAGTGTGGAGTAATGATTAGGGCGCAAAAGAATGGTCTGCAGAGTGGTGATGCTGACTGTACGCAGAGACATCGCATCCTCAGTCAGCAGCAGCCCAGGTCATGCAAGTGCTGTGGCACACACCTTTCCGGTCAATGAGCTGCGCTTGGACCCAAGATAGACTGTGCTCGTCCGTTTGCGCATGCCAGAAGGTTGTCAGCGCTACTTGGTGGGTGCCGTCAATTCCCTCAAAGTTTTCCTCCAATTGACGGAACATAGGACCCAACGTCACGTCGTCGGGAATTCGTTGAAACTGCACAATCAGCTCGTGAACCAGCTGCGCCAAGTCGAAGAGGAGTACATCCGCGCAAGCCAGGCTCAGCAGAGCATGGTATCGCTCGTACGTATCAGCTTTGCGCTCGAACACCTGAGAGGCCGATAGGCCTCGCCATGTGTTCTGAAATATCGGCAGTCTGAGTTCGCAGATGATTGATGCCGCAAATGAACGTGTGATGACCACAATTTTCAAGTCTTGAAGCTCCTGCCGCCCAAAGATAAACTGTAAGGAGACCGCTTCCCTTTTCGCGATGGCAGCCGCTTCCGTCGCAACGCACCCGCAATTTTGCAGCTATGTTCTGTAGATAGTCGAAAGGGGCTTCTTTCCTGAGTACTTTAGTACACAGCCAGCTTCCTAGACGCAGACAATTCTGTGCACACGGACAGAGCAATCGGCTAAGCGCCTTGCAGCAAAGACGTCGGTCGAAGTTTGCGTCACGCACTTCTGGTCGAAATCCGTTCTGTTGTGCCGCGCGAAGCAGATCGCTATCGCCGAGGATGACGAGCCAAGCTAGCCATCCGCCTTCAGGCAAGTCCTTCTTCAGAGCCAGAGCTTCATGGCGATCCAGTTTGCGGGCAATCCTCACACTAAGGGAGTTCAGCGCTAAAGGCATGAACTGCCATGAAGGGTAAGTGCGGGTCAGTGAAAAGCTCGGTGTGCGCAAGCGAGGACATGCCCACGTTGAAGTGTTTGAAAAGTCTCAGAAGCACTGGCTTCAAAGCCTTTCGAGCTCCCGGCAGACTGAGATATTCTACCGAGCAGCCATGGCGAGTATTCTCAGCTAAAGGTCGCTAATGCACAATGTCAGCGCACAGCTACACTCACCGTACAACACCTCCTGATCAAGTGGCCGCAGGCTCATTTGGGGACCATAGAGCTGATAGCCTTCATTCAGCAATGCGATCACAGTGGTCAAGGGTAGGTCAAGACCCCAAGATTCTGGGGCATCTACGATGGTATAAGGGAACATATCGCCTTCCTGCGCTACACTTCGCGCGTGGACTTCCTGAACAAGGGCTCTGGAAAGAATGGCGCCCCTGTCTAGCAACTTGCGAAGAAGCAGTGGATCCAGAAGCTTCGGGCGCTTGATCGCCTCGTAGATGACCAACCATGGCTCGAAGCGATGGCATAGCCATGCCGACCTTACGTTGCGGTCTTTGCCGGTGGCATGCAGACGCTTTGAGACTTGCGCAAGATACTGAGGCTCATCCACACCAGTCCATATCTACAGACAAAGGCCACAGCTTCAGTCCGGGTGCAAAATCTCAAGCACAGGCATCTTACACTCACTTCCAGTAAGATTTCAAGAGGAAGTCGATCGAGAGCCGACGACGCTGTCACTTGCTCAGCGTTCCAAACTCGAGCGCTGGCAACAGCCAGGGGGTCCGTCACACTGGGGCTGTCGACAGTAGTGGAGAGCAAGCCGAAAGAGCGCAATTCACTCGCATTCGCACTCTTGGATCGTGCAGGCCCATGACGCGCTTTCTTCAGAGTTATCAGAGTCTGGCAGGTCAGCAGCTCTTCCTCCCCCTCGGAAGCGGAATATTCTTCGGCGGAGAGGTAGAAGTCATAATGGCCGGCGGACATGTCTGTTTCTGAGTGAGCTCTGAAGAGCGCGTGAACTGTGAAATGTCCAATACTCCAAAAGTAAAGATGACGTGCCTAAGCACGTGTCTGATGATAGTACGCTGATACAGCCAGCAAAACCGCAGCGGCACATTCAAGAACGGAGGCGCAGTAGGTGAACGCAAGCCGCCGTGGATATTCGCGTCTGTCGTAGCTTGCCAGGTGATCGCTTGTGCCTCGTGTAATCCCGAACACGCTCGCTGCCTCTTTATCGCAAAGGAGATGATGTCTGCCCGGCAGGATTCGCCGCCAATGAAGCTGTATTGCAGGCTTCTGCTGCCGTGAGGAAAGTGCAGCCTTTTTCTTCTGAGGCGGTGGAAAACAGGCCTGGCGAGGCGCAGTCTCTCATTCACGTCGCTTGGCGCTCACAAGTGATGTTCGTTGCTCCAAAGTGTTTGGCGAACCCAATGAGCGTAGCCTGTGCAGATCTATGAGCATCCGCTTGCGCGGATCTTAGCAGGCAGCACGTGCGTGACCGGCGATCGAGTGGCCTGCCTGCCCGAGCTGATCACGACCAACACGGTCAGAAGAGTTTGATGAGTGTCTGCGCCGACAGAAGCAGAATACTTGGACGCGATGTCGAGAAAGGAAGGCCACCTGCTTTTCGCAGACACACGATCATTCGTGATTCACGGTTCTTGATTGCCCCAGATACCAAGAATAATCAAGAATCACGTGGACCTTGCACAAGTTGAAGATTCTCACGTGACTAGACGCATGGGTAGTGTCTGGCGAGGTCACGAGGGCGCGTCCGTCGGACGCGAGCTTTTTGCAGCGCGAGCTTTCCGCACGCTCGCTGCCTGCTGCTGGGCTGTTGGTGCCGCTGTTAGATCTTGCTCTCGACCTGTACCGTGACCGTCATGTCTGCCGTTGAGTGCTGTATAAACAAACAGGCTCTCACACTCGTGACTCCGTTGAGAAGACACTACGCCGTTCTTTGACCGTTCAGTCGTCGCATACGCCAAATCTGACGCTCAACTCTCGTACCTCTGGAGGAACATCTCTGCCGCATCATCTTCTAGCCATCATCTCTGCAATCCTGCACAAGTGGAAGTAGCCTTCCTGCCGCTATGTCACTATATGCGCGCTTGAAGCAGAAGCGCGCATCCATCTCTTCCAGGACCTCTTCCCGAGGCTCCAGTCCTGCGCCGGACTCGCAGGCAGCTAGAAAGTCGTCCATGGACACGAGACAACAGCACGCCCTGAGCGTCACTTCCGCTGCCACAGGAAGCTCGGCGTCCAGCACCAGGCTGCACGATCCGAAATCTCCTCCGCTTCAAAGCCTTTCCGCCCTTCCGGCGGACATCGGCGCCGCGAATAAAGCAGCACCTCAACCTCTCGCTGTTGAGAGCAAATCGAAGCAGACCATCGTCAATGGAAGTAAAGCAGCGCAGGAGGATTTGGCGGGCTCGGCAAACGGCGCCTTCCAGGCTCAGCCGCCCGTCACAAAGCCAGGCTTGAACGGAATCGAGACGCTCGCACAGGAGGGCAGCGCAGCATCCTCGCCCTCTACTTTCTCGAGAGCTCGTTCCGCCTCTTTGCAGAAAGGAGCAGCAGTGTTGCGTGCTCTTGCACGAGCGCCATCCGACGAGGAGGGCCTCACAAGATCAGGCTTGACCCCTCTGACCAATGGGCGCGCACTCGATGCCAGAGATCCGGACCTTTCCTCGGATCCAGATCTCAGCGAGCGATCCGCTCATGCCAGCCCGGTTCCAACGCCGTTCGGCATCTCCTCGCCCGATGAGCCCGTGACGCCCGGTCTGTCGGATGAGGCAAAGGCCTCTGGTCGGGAGCAGCGAGAGCTTATCAGGCGACGGGGAGATGACAAAACCGTTGAGAAGATTGTAGGGATGGATCCGCAAGACAAGGAAAAGCGCAGGAATCTCAAATATGTCAGGGCCAAGAGCTGGGAAATACCGCGCAAGATTTTCCACGGCAGCATTGGTGAGTGAAGACCAGCGCATATAAGCGGTTCCAACGGAGCGGAGGATCAACGAGACACGAAGCCCATTCCAGCGTCGTTTTGCCGCGAAAGAGCTGTGGCAATTCGCACACTGACATCACCACTGCCTACACATGCTTTAGGCTTCTGGGTTCTCTGGGCATATCTCACCCACATTCCGAAGGAGGACATCATCCGCAACATGGCAATCTTTTTGTCTGTTGTAGTGACGGCCGATGTCATCCGACTCAACTACCCTCCTTTCGAGGCCTTTTACGAACAGGTCCTCGGCTTCCTCATGCGGGAAGCGGAGAAGACTCGCGTAAACGGTGTTGTGCCATTCCTGGTGGGCGTCATCACCGTTCTGCATTTGTTCCCGGAAGACATTGCTTGCGTTTCTATCATGATGTAAGTCGGCTATTGAACAAAACATCAGCGTTGAGGAATGGGCATTGTTGACCCGAATCTCATTCGTTGTCGGGTCAGGCTCTCTTGGGCAGATACGGCTGCCTCCACGTTCGGGAGACTCTACGGTGCTCGCACTCCGCCTCTCCCTTCGCCCCCTTTCGCATCTCGCAAGTCATCCGCTGGATTCCTGGCTGCCGTGCTCGTCGGCACCACAGCTGCATTCGTCTTTTGGGGCACTCCGATCGCTCAAATCGGCGAGCGAGCTGCAGGAGCTAGCTGGATCGCATCCTACGCCCGCTTTGGAGCCCCGCAGACTCATGGGTACCTCTCATCTGGCTGGTCAGGCGTCAAATACGGTTTCAGAGCCGTGCCACCACCGTCCAACTTTGTCCAATCTCGCGGTGCTCAAGCTGTTCGGCCCGTAAAGCAACAAGCTGCGAAAGGTCTAGGCTCCTGGTTCTCGACATCATCGCCAGCTGTCCCTTCGGCCAGCGATCCCACTCCTGTTCTATCCGCCTTCACGCGCGCTGCTTCTGCACCTGCTGGAGCGCCGCCTTCCTTGCCGCTGCCAATCTTTTGCATCAGCTCTGGGCTTGTCGCTGGCATTGTCGAAGCACTTGAACTAGGCGGTGTTGATGACAACCTCTCTCTACCTGTTGGTAGCTCTCTCGGCATGCTGCTCGTCTTATGGTCTTGGGGACGCGTCGCTACGGCACTTGGCCTCACCGCCTAGACGTGACCTCGGAAGCGAAACCCCCTTCACCAACTTCGCCATCACTGCGTCTAATCGCTGCAGTCGCTCCTTCCGAGACATTCGTGTACTCAACACGGAAGTCGCGCGCGCGCGTGTCGTCACGCAGCAAGCCTATACCCTTTCTGACTCTCGTCTCCCTTCAACAGGCCAAGCACTTCTTCTCTGTAATCCTAAAGCCTTGTGTAGACATGTGCGAACACTTCGCGCACAATTCTTCCTTTTTAGGAAGCCCGCGGCTCTGCGTTGTTCGACTATAGACCCTTTCCTCTCTGGAGACCAGTAATCAATCAATCAGCCATACCTGAGAGAAGTTTCCAAAAGCTGGCCATTGTCACACCTTCGACCGTTCTCATGACCTATGATAGTACGGTCTCGAGCTCGGCTCTCGGGGATCCTATTCAGGATCCTTCGAGAGTCGCAACGTGTCTACTGATCATCGTTAGGATTGTACGCAGACCGCGTTGGCCTTTCATAACTCAGTGTTGATGAAGCCGTTGATGTCAGGACATGCGCAAGCTCTTCTCACGCCGAGTCGTCGACGGCCCTCGCCTCACTTTCCTTATGACTTACGTTAGTGGTTCTGACATAGAGTAATCAGAGCGACACACGAGAGTACTCTCGCAGCTGCGTGAGTCTACGACTTTTGACGTGCCTGACGCAAGTGAACAGTCATGATCCAGATCTCAGCACTGAAAAGCGGTGCCGAAAAGCGCGGTGCCGTCAAATCGCCGAGCGTTCCAGAATGACTTCAGTCGTACCTTGCTCGCGGCCTTCTGTCTCCGCGAAGACCCGCCTGGGCTTGCGACTCAGCTTCGACTGTTGACCGCCCCAGAGTCTGCGCATCTGATCGAAATCTGTGCATGGACGAAGACAGAAGGCTCTTTGACTTCTGCTCCGGCCCGCTCTGCGCAGACACTAAGCAACAGCATGGACACTCTCGTCCATGGTGCCCTGTACGCCTCACGACTCCCACACTCGGATTTCTCTGCATGGCAGTCTCCTCGATTGCGCCCGCGCCAAAGTGCGATTCGAAATTGCAACAGGTCGCATCAGGGCACCTCTATCCGTGACATTGAGCGCAACTTCAAGCATCCAGCAAAGACCACCCAGTCAGCCAGCAGACCTGCGAAGCTTGTCTATGGCGAGAGCGCCTTTCAAAGACTGATGAGAACCTTCTATACAGCTCTAGCGACGGCACAGCCGCAAGTGAATTGCACATGGCGATGGCCCAGCAGAGCAGACAAAGCAGACGAAGACTTTAGGTGATTTCAGTTCTCACTTCATCAGTGACGAAGCAGAGTGTCATTCAGATCTGCGTTGATTCTGTGAGTAGATCACGAATCGTGATTGTGTGGGATGCTGGATCGCGGTATAGCTGGCTGAGCTTGCTTTAAACCTCATTTCCCCGCACCAGCGGCTCCGGCAGCAATAAGGCGCTCATCAGCAGCAGTCAGCAAGACAGCTATAGCGATACCTACATGGAGCTAAGCGAAACAGCTCGGCTGGTCACACAGTTTATCCGCGCATAGTGAGCTGCACGCGCCGCGTGCACCGCGCAGAAACCTCTCCTTGATTCGAAATAAGTGATTGTGATTCAAGTTTGTGATTATTCGCGATTCTTGATTTGCGCTTTGCTCGAGTTGTCCAAGATATTCAGAGCCCTAGTAGTAGTGTCACTCAGATTCAAACTTGAATCACGAATTGTGTAAGTGAACACGATGAGTGTGAAAGTCGGACTCTTAAGTCAGACTGCGCATCTGTGAGAGTCTCATTGTCGCCTTAAATGGATTCCCCTCCAACTCTCATCACCACTACTGGACTTCACCTCCGTCTCTCACCCGCGGTCGATAATCGGCAGATCCCTCTCAGCCTTCCCTAGCCTAGATACGCGTAAGGCCATCAAACAGAGAGCACATAGTGGAACCGAGAAAGTATGGAACCGGTCCGCATACATCCATACAACGCACCGTGGTCCAAGTCACAGACTTCCGACAGCGCGATCAAACACTTTGCACCTATCGTCGTCATCTAAGAGACGTACTGTATGAAGCTGGTGTCGACTGGCGTTAGAACGCAATGAGTACAACCGCGTCAAGTGCGACAAGCAGCAACCTCTTGCAGTTCCAGCAACGCAAAGGTGACGCTTTGTGAGTGCGAATAGGTCATTGCGGGCCCGCCATGCACCAATGCGTCAAGCCGCTGTAGACCATCCATGGTCAAGTGCAAGAGATGATGTCGGACAGGAGCTCCGTCCTACGCCTTGCGCTTACTTCAATGGAGCGTTGACATCCGCTTCTTCCCTCGCAACTCCTACGCAGGCTCAACCTCTACGTGCACGATTACCTGATCAAGCATAAGCTCTACAGCGCAGGCTCTGCATTAGCACGAGAAGCAGATCTGTCGCCGACTGCCAAGGTTCCTATTGATGCTCCTCAGTCTCTACTGTACGAGTGGTGGGCAGTATTTTGGGATATTCTAAGCGAGAGAGCCTCGCAAGCAGCGCGACCATCAAGTTTTAAAGTCACAGACGCATTATTGTACACCCAAAGGGTGGGAGCAGGGCCCCTCACAAGTCAGTTGGCATCGCAGCATGCGGCAAGTAGTGCTCCTAGCCCACCTGCCGAAGGAACCGCGCAAAGGCGAAATTCTCTCGCTGGTCGAGGTCGGGGAGGCTCTCCCCAGACCACGACGACAGCCAGATTTGCGAAGGACAAAGCTGGGCCAAGCTCAGCAGCGGATCGAAAGCAGACAGGGGAAGGGATCTCAGCAATCTCGAAAGGAAGTCAGGACACTTCCTCTTCTGGCACCATCTCCGCCGCTGCAGCAAGCCCTGCCGTCAGCAGCCCGACCATACCCATAGGCTTCGGTGCTAACGATCTCGCAGCACCAGGCCAGAGGATGCCCCAGCAAAATCTCGTGATACGGGCCATGGTGTCACTTGGATGGGCCGGGCGACCGCCAGAATCTTTGGTGCCGGATGAAAAGTCTCGGCTGCAGCGTGAGATGGCCCGACTTGCACCAATGGATGATGCAATGAGGCGCTCCATCGGCAGTCAACAGAACGGGCCGGAACCAGACATCAGTGCTCTGCGAGCCGCTGCCAAAGCCCAACAAGACGCTAAGCACGCACCTATCACCACTAAGCGTCCGCGTCAAGTGCCGTTCTCGATGCATCAGCAAGGAGTGGGAGGCTCACCCTCGAGCGAGGCAGGACCCTCAGATCTTCGGAAACATCCTCCGCCAAATCCGCAGCAGCGCAGCTATGATGCGCCACAGCAAGTACGCACGGCAAACCCACGAAGTCCCTCACCCTATTTGGGCCGTACGCCATCTCCGATTTCGATGCAGCAAATGCCAAGCGTTGGAACTTTAGCCGAGGTGAGTGGCCCATTCACGTTCTGCCACAACAGCAGAAGCGTGCGGCACGGCAGCTAGAACTCACGCTGTAAGTGGTTTCCGTTCTCCTTCACAGCAGGCGCGCGATTTCGAACAACAGCAGGCGCTGGCCAGGAGCCTGCAGCATCAGTCGAGGACCATGATGAATTCAGCACCTCGGACGCCAGGCCCGCCACCACCAGAAGGTCCACCTTGGCAATTTGGAGATTTGCTTGGTGTCCCTCGCGAGCTTCACCTTCCCAGCCATCCTCAAAGTCACGCCTCAGGCAGCGCCATTATGTCGAAATCGGACTCGGCCTTTGAAAGAGCTACCGCCGACGCGCGATCACAGCTAACGGCTCAAATTCAATCACTGCAGAATCAGAGCCCCAATGGTGTGCGGACACCAGGGACCGAGGCTCAAATACATCAACTTAGAAGGCTGCAAGGACGACTGGCACAGCAGAACACTTTCAGAAGTCCTACTATGCCAGAAACACCTCCGCGCTCGGACATTGTTGTCAATGCGGCCCATTTGCGAACGCCAGGCTCTTCCGGTACATCTCAGTCCAACGCTTTCCACTTCATAAGACCGCCGTACGACTCGAGTCCGTCGAACATCCATTTCGAGCCTCACGTGGCAGTCCCGCCCACATATCATCATCTTAACGGGAATGACAATGAACGAGGACAATACCAAGGTAGTGGTGCGGCGATGACCTCGTCAGCACCAATGAGTGTGCCTGTCTTCTCAGGACAGCAGCAACATCTCTCCAACCATCCGAGCATGCAAAACATCGCTTCGAGTGGCTTTGCTCATCATGGCGATCCTTTTGACGGTCTTGCCCCTCTGCTGGTGCATCAGGATCCGAATTACGCCTCCATCAGCGGCATCGATTTCTCTTTCGGTCAAGATCCCCGGCCCTTGCCTCCGTGAAAGGCTCCGGTCGGAGCTTCCCACCTTCGCGACGGAGCTCGGCGACATTTGCTGCTCAGTACCCTGCGGCTCAGATGGATCGTCTCTCAGCTCAGCGTGATACACCACTGTGGAGCCTTCGAGCGTCTGTTTGCAGCCATCTAGTCGGCCCACCTCGCGATTTGCATCCTTGCTATGATCCCCACGTCTTTGCTACCCGCGCACGCAACCTTTCTGTATACCATTCCCGACGTATCAATCATCCTTGCAAAGACCTCTCAATTCCGGACATCATTACGGTCGGCAATATCTCGCTTGATGCTTACCCATCAACGCCGACGGTCCCAGTACCGTATGGGACTACAATGTGCTTGAGCCATCTCAGCTCTTTGGCCTCGGATGCGGGCCAGGGCTGCGCAGCTTTCAGGGACAACGCATACAAGCCCACAAGAAAGCGAGTCGTTCCTGTGTTAGCGTCGACTACCCGCGGGCGCTGCCTTATCCTTCGTGAGCTGGACGAAAGCTCACGCCCAACGGGCCAAGCCCCGCTTCTTGCCACACGACCGGGCCATTGTGGGACACGAGTGCCTCTTCGAAAGCCAGTCAGCTTCACTATAATCGCGCTGTCTGCCCCACAGCGTGCTCGGAGCTTTTGTGGTCCTCAGAACCAGAACGTCGCCACGGCGTCCTGGCGCAGACTTAAATTTGTGACCCCGCAATGCGCAATACTCCATGACGTGCAAGACGTAAAATGGTTGCGAGCCTGCTAAGGTGAGCCACAACATCCTTGCTTCACATTTGATCCTAGTTGCAGAAGTCTGCTCCGCGCCTGGCCGAGGTTTTTCCGTGGGGGGTGGCAATGCTACCTTGACCGGTCACTCCTGACTTCCGATTGGCATATCCATCTTCAAGGACTACGCCGCGTTTGGTCGGTTCTTTTCTTCGTCACCGCAATGGTTCTTGCCATCGGCGGGTCCAAAGTCCCAAACGCGCAGCGAGCTTACCGACTCGGTCTATCGATGAACGACAGACCGAGTCAGGAAGCTCGACATTCTGACAGGTGGCGACTCAAAAATATCACGAATCGATCCCGCCACCCACAACACCTGCCGGGTTTTGTTTGCTCGCCAACCTGTTGCGCTTTTGGGAATCGCGTCTATAAGAACACGAAGCTGACTTGACCCCCGGCTCTGCTTTGCTTTACAGCGTCGGTCTCCTGAATCTTTCTGCTGCCAACATCTGGACTAGCTGGACTAGGTGATTCTCCGGTACATTGCGTCATTTCTAGCTGTCTTTCACTCAAAAGGTTTGCGCAAGCTCGAAGCTCTTGGCATCCTCAACGCAATGAAGCTCTCTACCACGCTCGTCTACCTGGCCATCTTGGCCTCACCTACCTGGTCCGCCCCGATTGAACAGGATGCTTCGGGCAGCCGATCCACCCTTTTCGCTGAGCGCCAGCCCCGCACGGACATCGACATGGGGAACCTCGTCTTGACGCCTCGAGCTATTGAGGTCGCGCACCCTGGCGCCGTCTTTCAGCCGCCACCTGGACGAGTGGAACGAATAATGAAGGACCTCGGCAAGTATGCGTGGAACAAGCCCTACAAAAGTGTGGCGTGAGTAGCACTCCCTGCCTCCCAGAGCCGTTCAAGCCTTTGACTCGGCGCGAAGAAGCGACGACGCTAGGCCTTAGCTCACAGCAGGGACTCGAACCCCCTCCTGCAGCTGGGGTCTCGGCTTTCTTGGACCGCCCTTGGCGGCAGTTGGCGGGTTCACGCACGCACATAAGATGACGGAGGAGCGTAAGAAGTATCTTCGTGAACATCAACAACCCCGCAGTCGCTCTATCGAAGAGGATGACGGCCTACCTCTTTTGACGAAGCGCAATGTAGATGCGGACGGCGAGCAGGTGGCTCTGGCAAAGCGTGCTCCTCCCGTTCAAGACGGCATCCAGCTAGGGACGCTCTTGCACGCTGCCGCCCAACGGGAGATTGAAAGTCATGCTGCAACACAAGAAGCTATCGATGCCGTGGCCCTTGCTAAAAAGAAGCGTCGCCAGGACATGTTACATCGCGCCAAATTTGCAAGGTGAGCCCCTCAATTCGACTGGCAATCGAGTCCTCGCTTTCTGAGTTTGCAGATCAAGTCCTTGAGCGTGTATTGAGATCATACTTATGCGCAGCTCACGGTATCTTTGACAGCGCGGTGGGAGCGCTTGGAGGAGGGCTTGGACTGTTTTACTATGGAGGTGTGCAACTTGCTCACTATGGCAGTAAAGATTTGGAGCCCAAGCATGCCCCTTAGGTTCTCCTTCCCAACGGTGTCGCAAAGCTAGACCAACCGGCTACACTTGGTGACGCACGCAGCCAGCAAGGGGCTACGACCAATCTCACCAGCAGTCGCTCAGCGCGGCACTTCCGGCTCTAGAGCGATCTCGACCCCGCGACCTTCAGACAAGGTCCCCGCTCAGTCGCTTCTTGTGCACAGAACGGCTTTTGAAGCCGTCGCTCTGTTCAATTGTCATCATACGTGCCTCTACTTGGCGAACAAGGGGCGCAGAGCTCTTGTGTGGTCCTAAATCTTGCGTGAGACATCTTGTCCTTGAGGGGTCTGCTTGAGTCACCTCTCTGGGGCACCGACGCGTTTGTCGCATCTCTTCTTCGTACAATCTAAATGAGTGAATGCGCACGCAGTAGAAGCAAATGTGGCCTCGATCCTTGAACGTAAGAAACGCGAGACGCTCTGTCCCGCTACCAATTTGAGTCTCGACTGAACCACGTAAGCTTTGCAAAAGTGATACGTACATAAAGCATTGTGGTTGATGTCTGCTTCGCGAGGACCACCGAGTCCCCGGGCACATCATGCGATCTTGCAGTTCGGGACCATTTTGACGGCGTAGCCATCGCGGTGGCTCGACGTTTTGGCCACCAAGTGATGCAAATTCCTTCAATGGCGTGGCCAACTTCCTTTATTGGAGTATGTCCTCGTTCGTTAATTGACAAAGCCCTCCAGCGTCGAGATGAGTGGCAAACGACAACGATCTTGCTAGAAGGCAAAAACGCAGAGGGTTGCGGTAAATGACATACGACGGCAGAGATCTTACTGATGGACCAAGCCATTCAAGGTTCAGGCGAGTGGCAAGCAACAGCAGCCTTGCTTGAAGGCATGGACCTTGAGGGTTGTGGCGACAGCGAGCTTACTGATGGACCAAGCCATTCAAAGCTCAAGTCGAGTGGCGAACTACAGCCATCTTCTTTCCAATGGCCAAGAACATTGAGGATTTTATGCCGAGTGGCAAGGGACAGCGATTCGGGAGCACCACCAAGCATGGCAGCATGACTTCGAAGAGGTATATAATACCCTCATCTGCAACGGACGTCACTCTCAACTTGCCCTCATCATCTGCTTCTGATCGGCTTCCGTGAACGACATCTATTTACACTAGCTGGACTAGTGTCTTTGACCGATTTTTCCCCTCTCTACTGCTCCTGATCTCGCCCTTAACGATCTTAATTCAAAGGGCTAACGCTATGAAGCTCTCGTCCTCTTTTATCTGCCTGGCTGTCCTGGCGTCACCTGCCTGGACCGCGCCAATCGAAGCGCATGCTGGCAATCGAGCTAGCTCACTCCATGAGCGCCAGACGATCAAACCAATAGTCTCCGACGCCGTCCAACTTGCAGCTCGAGACGGAGACTTGAGGCCCGTGAGCGAATCTCGCTAAGCAAATGCCTTCAAAAAGGTGGGGGACTACATGTGGAAGAATCCGCTCAAGACGGGCTTGTGAGTAGGCTCCTGATTCGTACTTCGGAATGCTAAAGCGTGCCCACCAGCAGTCTGTGCTCTCTGGTCAACTTCCCGTCAAGCTCGTAATGGCTGACTTGAGACATCGTGATGCCCCGCGCTCACCAGGTTCACTGCCGGCATGCTCGCTCTCCCTGCCTTCTTGACTGGCGTTCATGTACAAAGACAGGAGACGCTTCGAGAGCGCAAGAAACTCTGGCGAGAAACACACCCGCAAGGTCGTTCTCTTGTTGGGGAGCATCAAGTAGCACCTCTTCTCATCAAGCGTGATGACGGCATGGCTCTCGAGAAGCGCGTGCCTCCCCCTCCAGAGACGATCTTCCGCGTCCACGACCCGGTCGCTGAACTCTTCGGCGTCCATGAACCGGTCGCTCAACCCTTGCTCTCGACACGTCAACACGAGGTGCTGGCGATCGAGCGCGCCCATGGGCGCAGCAAGAAGATCAAGCAAGGACTTAGAGTTGCAGGGTGAGTGCTGTACAAGCAATGGTAAAAGTGACACGCTGCGCCATGTGCAAGACGTCCCATGCGAGACAAGCCTTCAGCTCTGACGCTGAGGTCCCGATCCGAACAGCGCTGTGGGCATAGTGGGCGGTGGAACCGCACTTGCATACTATGCAGGTAAAGGTCTGGCATACACGCCCAAGTCGGAAATGGAGCGTTACAACCAGTCGGAAAAGCCTTGACCTTTCCCGGCCATTTCTCATCGCCTTGCAGGTCTACCTCCTACCCACAAGTCTGATATGACATGCATGTTCAAGCTCTACCTTGATTTGACAGATGATTGTATTGCATTGTGAGGCGCCTTGTGTTCTACTTCTGTTGTTGGCGCTGGATGCGCGTGCGTTTGCGCAGCTTCTTGTATCTACAAGACGCGCAAAACGAAGAGTTGAATCAGCAAGACGAAGCAGCGCAGGGAATGGCGCTGGAAGGGCTCAACTTACTTGTGCTTTCTCATCTTCTTCTTTCGTTTCCGCCTCACACTGTCCAGAGAGACGTGCAGCTCGTGATCGGGCGGCAAAGGATCCGCATTCAGCAAGGAAGGGTTCACACCTCCTCTCGCAATGCTGGCGTCATCCAGCGCAGCAGCATCCATCTGACCGACCAATCTATCCCATGCAAGCGAGTTTGGAAGGGCCGCTTGGACCATCGCATGGGACAAGAGAAGGTTGGGTGCATCCTCCTCCACGTTGCTAGGCGGCAGGCCGTGCACATTCCCGCCGAAGCTCGCACCATCCATACCGTTCAGGGCGTCCGTGAACATGGATGAGAGGCGATCTGCTACATCCTCATCATCGAACTCCTCGCCTTCCCCGAGCGTGATGACACTGCTCCGTCCAAAGTGGGGCATAGAAGATCCGGCAGTCTGGGGCGCCAAAAGTGTGCGGCCATGAGCATCTGGCGCAGAAGGCGGCTCAAAAGCTCGCAGGTGTTTTGCCATAAAGCTAGCAACACCAGGGGACCAGTCTGCCTGGGGACCATTGGGCTCCCCCAAGATTACTGTGTCCGCCTCGCCTCCCAGCGCCTTAGCTACCGTCGGGTCATCTCCCCGCTCCACCGCATTCGCAACAGCCTCGGCGCACTCCTTCTCTCTGCGAAGTTCTTCTGCCATTTTGTGACGTTCCATGACGACCTTCAGAGAAGTTTGGGAGACGGCGGACGATGACGTTGAGGATTGAGAGAGAGAGTCGAGTAGCCTAGAAAAGCGAGATGGGTTGACGTTTCGAAGAGCATCGGGCCATATCGATGGGCCTGACGGCATTTCGGAGACGTCGGTGACTACTGCGATAAGTGTTCCTCCTCGCAAACGATCGCCGTGCTTTGCAACCACATTGGAGACAAACTCTTGGACTTCCTTGGGCGGGAAATCCATTTCTGATGAAAGCGCCCCAAAGCTGCCTTGCACAGTCCCGCCATTGCTTCCCGCAGACCACGTTGTTCTCACTGCATGCTCCAAAAGCGGTCTATAAGTCGAGAAAAAGGATTGCATTCCCACTTCTTTGTCCGTAGTGGGTGGCGGTCGAGCGGGTGCGTGCCCTCGATTGAGCTTGCTCAGCGCACGATCGAGAGCAGAACGACGCTTAGCACTGAACAAGTCAGCAGAGCCCTTTGCTGATGCGTCGCCATTGCCCTCAGATGAGCTGCGAGAAGCTCGACGCCTGGCAATGGAGGCTCTTCTGCGAGTATGAGCTGTAGACGGCGCAACGTAGGCCCTGAGCTGAGAAACACTGCTGGAAGAGCAAGTCGCTGCGCCGTTCGGGGATATGAAGGAGTTGAGGGGCCGTGAAGAGGATGAGGCAGCAGCGCGCTTCGTAGAGTGCAGGACCGATGAGCGCCTGCCCGCTGCGAGGGTTTGAGTTGCCGCTTGCCGTCCATTGTTGCCGGTGCTGTGGGAACTGGCGACCAGCCTGAGCAGCGCTCGAGGATGAGTGGCGCGAGACCGCATAGCAGCAACACCCCGTGTCGACTCAGCTCCCGAGCTTGCCTGAGCGGACTAGATCTTGAAATTCAAATCAGATTCGCTAGTTTTGATTGTGTAAGGGCAGGATGTTGGTGAGGAAGGATGGTGATGCGCGTGATGATGTGCTCAGTCACAGTGGTTTGCGATCTTGCTGAAGCGGGCACGGGCACAGGCACGGGCGTCGCACGCGCGCACCATCGATCTGCAAGCTGCTTTTTGCGCAACTCGGGCATCCCATATGTGAGGTGAACGAGCATGCAGAAGGGCGCGTCGTCGTCACAGCGCCCCGAGAGGCGCGGGCGGCAGAGAGCTGCGCCACGTGCGCACGCGAGGTAGCATGCTACTGTATACATCCATAGTGTGAGTTACGAGTGTGAGTCACAGTGTGAGTGGTGAAGGTGAGTTGGGAGTCTTCTCTGGTGTGGATCAAAATTCAGTCTGAGTCTGAGCGGAGAACGCCGGCTAGGCGTGTGGGCGTAAGCGTCGTGACACCACGCTCTCCTACTCATGATTCTCCACCTCAGATTCACATTACAGCTGTAGCCCCGCGACAGATTTGCGCTCATCTGACCTTTGATCCACTTATCTCTTTGCGTCCTTCATCAGTTCGAGTGGCAAGAACGAGCTGCAGCAAGACAACTCATCTTCTCCTTTCCCATCTTCCGGAGGACAAGGGAGCCCTGTCCAGCTAATCAGGGCATCAGCGGGATCCGGCAGGGCGTCACGAGTCGCTCACATTCGTCATTTCGACACTTGTGACTACTGAGTCAGGTCAGGCATTGACTCTGCAGCCACAAGTAGGGGATTGATTCATGAGGCTGCGCTAAGACACACGATGTATACCACAAATCAATCCGTCTCAAGGTCTACCGGCACAGGTACGATGTACGCACTCCGAGCGCCCGGCCGGCCCCCGGGCGTTCGATGCTGTGTCATGTAGACTCGTTCATTTCGTGGCAACCCTCTTCATAGCCGCCGTGCCATGCCGCAGGGTAGGTGGCTCGACGACCTCTAAACATGTCGAGAGTGGATGGGTGGGGAGCATGCCTGAAGTCACTGAGTGTCTGTTGTGTCTTGAGTTTGAGTGCAGCCATGTAGAATTTTCATTTGCATCCTCAACGGTGCGAACGCTGTTGCCATGCATCGCACAGTCAAATTCTCACGTGACTGTGTGTGTAGTGCGGTGCATGCCAGACGCCAGATGCCAGATGCCAGCGGAGATCGTGCCCGCAGGCTTGCAGTCTGTGGCAGCGCTCCGATGAACGCCGAATGCGTGGCTCGCATGGAGCCTCTCTCTCTCTCCCCCTCCTCTGCTTGCTCACTCGTCGACTCGCGCGCACTGGACCCACAGATGTCTCTGACGTGCTGATGCTGATGTCGACACCAGCAGTCGTGAGTCACGAGTCTTGAATGCCAGGTGCGCTCGCTCAGCGGATGTTCCACTCTCATACGCGTGCTGATGCTTGTTGGATTCACCTCGCTTAGCCGCGTTTGCCCTCGGCAATCGAACCAAAGCGCTGCTGAATTGTGCCACAACCTGACTTGACGTCACGAGTCTGAGCGTCTTGACCTGACCTGCCCTGCCCGTTGACTCGTAGCTACTCTACTACTAGCAGGTACCGGCATTGCGCCCCGCCTCGCGCCTCCGCTGCCCACTGTTGACTGTTGACTGTGTCGTGACCAGACGAGCGTGCCTCATCTGCGTGACCCTCAGCGGCAACTTACCGGTGCTGCTTGCTTGCTGGCTGCTGCTGATCTTTCTCTGCGCTTGTACCGTCAGCCGTGCCCCTGCCCCTGCTGCCCCTGCGCTCGAAAAGGCGCTGGTGCCGAAGAACACGAAGCTGCATCAGTGAACGGCACCGGCGTATTTGCAGCTTCCTCTTCAGCTGAGCTGTTTGAGCTCGAGAGGAAAGGTTCCGGAACGCGAATCTAATGCTAATGGTTGTTGCAGCCATGCATACAGATGTCCGCTTCCTCTATCCAACGTCTTGCTCTACCCGATTTTCTAATAGATACGCTCCCAGCTCGCCCTTGTCCGATAGACTGAAGCAGACCGAACAAGGCTTGGGACTTCAACCAGCAGCGTGAGGCCTTAATCAGGCTTCGGCAATCAGATTCACAATTGTTCAATGATTGCCGCTTGAGCAGAAGGAAGGC